GGGAGGCTGAGGCAGGAGAATTGCTTGAACCCAGGGGGCAGAGGTTGCAGTGTGCCGAGATTGCACCACTGCACTCCAGCCTGGGCAACAGAGCAAGACTCCGTCTCGGGGAAAAAAGAAAAAAAAAAAGTTGATTTCTCAAAGTTCACCATAGATGCCCTCTTGGGAATGGACAGTGACGCAGCAGCAAAGTGGAAATGGAAAGACTGGTTAGGAGGCGCAGGTGAGATCTGGGTGAAGAAACAGGGAGTGGCGGGCGAGATGGAGAGATGGACATATGGGCTGTTTCGAAGTAGAGCTAACAGGACCTGCTGGTGGTGTGGGTCTGGGGGACCAGAACAAAAGAACCGTCAAGGCCAAGTCCTAGTTTTTGCCTTGAGCATCCAGATGAATGGTGACCCCATTTGCTGCATTGGGGGAAACTTGAGTGGTTTTAGGGTGGTGGAATGGGATCTAGGTGGAGTGGAATCTAGGGTTCTCTCTTGACTGCCTTAAGTATGAGGTGCTTTGGGGAATGATACTGCCCAGGGTGCGTGCGTGTTGACGCTGCTTTGCCCCCTAGCTGAGGCTGTGTCTGAGTTTTGTTCATGTGCCAGGGAAACCTCATGTGTCAAACATCCTCTCAAACAGGAACACGAAGCAGAGTATTGTGTAAATAAATTGTTGTTAGGATATGGTGATAGAAATTACAGCTGAATTGGTTTTCTAATACTTCTGGAGTGTTGTTGCTTTTGTAATGCACATATAAAAGAGCATGTATGGGATGAAGATCCTTGTCAATGGAAATGGGAAAAAAGGGAACTTGGCATGTGCATAAATCTTCTTAGGGCGAGTGTGAAGGTAACGAAGTGAAATTAGAATTAAACGTTCTTGTGGTAGCCACCAGGGGGCGTTGCCAGCCCCTGAGCAGGTTGATGGACACCTAGGGGCAATGTGGCACCAACCCCGGACGTAGTATTCAAAGGACTGTTTATATCTACAGGATGTGTGCAAGTTGTGTTTGTAATTCTGTTTATGAATCTGTCCATGTTGATGAATTCATATTACCCCATTAAAAATGAATTATC